CCCCGTGCCTGGAGTCACATCGCTCCGCTTGTCCTCCCCAGGCTGCCGGGGCAGGGGGGCAGCAGCGTCCCTGGCCCTGTGAGCTGGAGCCCAGGGGGACCAAGGGCAGGAGCAGGGCAGGGGGATGCAGAGTGCCGGGACAGTGTGTGGCAGCCCAGAAAAATGGTGTTTCCCATGCCAACAGGCTGCTGTGCTTCCCCCGGCCGCTCCTCCTCCTCCCCCTCAGGTCCTGCCTGCTCACTGGAGCACTCCTTTCCCAGCGCAGCATCCCTGGCAGATGCCATTACCGACCTCTCACCCCTCCCTGCGCTCTGCTGATGAAGACATCCATTGCAGCAGCTGCTGCCACTGGGCCCTGCAGCTCCCCACTCCTCCCTGCTTCCTCCACAGCGTCCATCCCCATCATGCCTCCCAGCTCTCTGGGGGATCACTGTGGCCCCACTTCAGGGGCAAACAACCCACCACCACCTCCCGATATCCCCACAGTGGGCAGGGCTGGTCCCTTCTGGGGCTCCCTCACCCCACTGCCCGCAGCCAGGAGCTCTGGGCTGGTGCCTGCACAGCACTGGGCACTGCTTGGTATGGATGGCACAGCTTTTGGGGTAATGAAATATTTACAGGTCAGTGGTTTTGTGAGAAATGACAGGGATCAGTCAATTCCTTTTCAGGGAGTAATTTTCTTCCCCTTCATGGCCTCTGTTCCATGTTGACAGTCATTAGCATGAGCGAGGGCCGGGTCCAAGGGGGAACGCTGCATCTGTCATGCAGATGAGTCGTGCTGGGCACGGTGATGCGGTGATGCCCACATGGGCCCAGGATGCCTGGGGGCTACCTTGGGCCATGCCAGGACCCTTCTGCCTCCACTGGGGCATTTCTTGAATCTGTCTCTTCTGCTCAGCACAGTGCCACATTGCCTTGCTCCTGGGCAGTGGGATAGGGGCAGATGGCCCCATCAGTCTCCCTGGCGGGCACAGTGGGCTCCCCACAGGAGACGTTTGGAATTGCTGAGCACCCTTCCCTGTGCTCAGCGGTGACCTCATGATGTAGCAAGGGTGTGACCTGGCATTAGCAAGCAGGTAGGAGCCATTCGAGGTCACAGCAAAGTGGTTTCTGCCTGCCCTGCCCTGCTTGCACTCCTTGCTTGCCCTGCCTGCAGAATATGTTTACTGAGGCTCTGCAGCTGGCAGGGGCACCTGGGGGGCTCTGCAGATGCTGTGGTGCTGTGGGCCACTCTTTCCCCCTGCAGCAGGTGTCTGGTTCCCAGTGGGAGGAGCAGGACAGCTGCAGGTAGTGGGGACTGCTGTCAGGGTGGGGAGGTGTGATAGTGACAGGGCTGTCTTCCTTCTCCAGTTGCTCCAGCACTCCACACATGGCTTCATCCAGCTGTGCATGCGTCGTGACCTAATAGTGCTGTGACCAAGCACGGTCAGCTGTGACTGGGCAGTGCCGTGCCATCACCTCCAGGCAGTGCCATCCATCACCAGGCAGTGCCGTGCCATCACCAGGCAGTGCCATCCATCACCAGGCAGTGTCATGCCATCACCAGGCAGTGC